AAAAAAAGAGCCTGGTATCAAACCAGCTGAATCGATTCGCTAAAAATAGGTATTTCTTTGTTCTGCCTTTTCAAGTCTTATTTCTTTTAAAATCCCACAATCTTTTGTGATCACCAAAGCTAACATGCATTTTTTGTTAATAGCAAGAACCTCCCTGCTTTGCATTTCCAAACTTTATAACGCAAGAACAACAAAACAAATTGCTCCGGGTTTAAAAAGAAAACGTTGGCCCTGGCATGCTAATCCGGGGCAAGACTCAAACCCAAGGCCCAGTAGGCCCCGTATCAAAAGGCTTTAAGATCTAAAAGCAAGTAATAAAAAGCAGCTTTAATGCAAAACGGTTTGGCCTGAAACAAGAGACTTCCATTAAGTGCCCAGTACACTAATAAAAAGGATAGCCCTGAGGTACACATACAAGCTAGAAAGTCAAAGTTGTTTGTGTGCGTTTGTATTTATGGAACGGCAGTGCCGAGCCAGCAGCCCTGTCACTATAACCCGCTTACGTGGGTAAGATGAAGAGTCTGCAGACTCTTCATCTGCAGAAGGAAGTAAACCCGGGCTACCATGCTTCAACCAGCTCTGCAGTTGATTTACTCCCTCAGAAAACAGACCTGCCCTAAAATAGCATCTACTTTTGCTTTTGGCCTGATGACGAAGGTCCTAGCTGTGAATTAGATAACCAGTCCTTCAGGAAACCCAACCACCAACTCTGCCCTCTCCAAAGACAGCTAAGACTGAGACAACTGCTGCTCTAATTTTGACTGGCAAGCACATCTTCTGGGGATGGATTGAACAAAACAGCCCTAGACTTGCCAACAAGGAGTCTTCTCCTCTAAGTCTGAACAGCACAGACCCTCATGAAAGTCTTGGTTACATTCAGGGCTAAAACTCTAATTTGTAGTCAAAAGGAGCTAGTTACAACATGCTTCACACTGGGTCATCTGGTACCTTCCATGACCCATCTTACACCAATCACTGAATTTGCTAAGGATTATTTAGCAGATCTCAAGAGAGACTTTAGTACTGAATGGTGGACAAAGTCCCTTTCCACTCACCATTGACAGTTGCCATCTATGTAACAGCCTTGGAATACAAGAGGCAGTCTGTATAGCTCCAAAAATATTTCTTGGCCTTTACTCCGAAAAAGCAAATGAAACAGTCCTATGACTTCATGAAATATTTGAACACATATTAATGCAAAGCTTTTTTATTATGAAGTTACCAGGAAGATTATATGCAGATGAAATTCCTCCAGGAAAAACAAGTTCTTGTCTTTGTTGTCACACAATATATTAGCAAGGTCTACAGATAAGAAAGTGAGTATTTGCAAAAACTGATTTCCCAAGACTAGTCTATTGTGTTTGTGCACCAGAATACGAGAGTTCCAAATCCGCCTAAGCCTGCTCAAGTTAACCTCTGCATCCAGCCCCCCAATGTGGTTCTGTCAAGAGAAGCGTACCAAGTTAAAGTCTTACATTTAAAATGTTTTTAGCATTTTCAGTTGTTAAAATGAATAGTATATTTTTATCACGACTTTAAAAAAAAAATCCCACTTTACTGTTTTTACACAGTATAGCTTTCCTTATGCATTTCAAGAACGAGTTTTCCAATAAAGTCTGCAGGACTCAGATTTACATCCTCACCCACTGACAGCTTAATTACTTGCATTGTAGGAGAAAGTACTTAATCACATACAGTCAGAAAAACAGCCCCTTAAACACAGGCTTTTGGGCCCATGATCCCCAATTTGAAATTCAATGAAGGAGAATGAAACATGCATACTGTGATCCATTTCCTGATTCAGAACACTTGATATTATCAAAACACACAGAGTTCCACAGCTGACACACACATTTTCCTGAACCATTGGTAAAATCCTTCCAGCATTTTAAGCCACAAAATGAAGATTCAGTGTGCTTTGGATATGATCTAAAGGCAGTGCTAGTCAATGAGCCATACAAAGACCAACATTGTAATGCTGTGCTAATTAACATATTAAAAATAGTCCATCTAAAATGTTGCTTGAATTACACTGGTATTTGCTGGTATTTTAACTTTCTTCTCAACAGTTATAGCATTAAAGGTAAGTCATCACTGGTGATTCTCAGCAGCAGAGACGCATTAATGGTTCCTTCTTTAAAATAAAAAAAAAAAAAGAGGAAGAGGAAAGAAAGACAGGAATTCTCAAGACACTCATCATGGCAATTCAGCACAAATAAGTCCAGTCAAGTCATGAAAAAAAATTCAGTTGTTAAGTGTAAGTGTCAATAGTTACATATCAAAGCTGACTACCAGCACCAGCTGGCCTTCTTCCCCAAACTGGTACCTAACTCATTACAGACAAGACAGTTAATAAATCCAGAAATGCAACTTTTAGCCAGTTTAGTCAGAGTATGCTGTACGAGCCTTTACACTGCAATAAAGATTGATTCTGTAAGCAGCAGCAGCAGCTCGCGTGCCATCAAGTGCAAATGTCGGAGTATTCGAAAACTTGAATGAAAACTAAAATGAACAAGTGGTCTGACAGTGGCGAAACAGCACAGGGTCCCAGATGGGACCTATGACATTACACAACATACGTTCTGAAACAGACACAGTGTGTGTGCTTTATGTATGTATTTTATACAAGAGCAACCTCTTCTGAAGAATGGAGAATAGCCAGAACGCTAAAAAAAATGCTGTAACAAGAATGAACGTTTGTGCGTTTGCTTTATGAAGCTTACATTCTACTGTTTACAAAGGCCAGCACTTGTATAAGACTCTCCACCAACAAACAAATCTGGAATACATCAATTGCACAGGTAAGTCAGCCAGAAATAAGCAACAGCTATGCTCTTCTCGGTTTTAAGAAAGCATGCAATAGGTTTTTTCCCCCTTCTGCCACCCCTTACTCAGATTTCCAAATCCCAGTACCAATAAAAGCTCGGTATAATGAAACTGGGGCACAGGTAACACGTTGAATATCATCACAGACTGTTTATCAATATTTTGCAAACGTAAAAGCAGCCTTCTTTTAGCATCAAGAAGGCAGAGAAGATACAAGCATGAATAAAAAAATAATTAAGCTATTTAAGACATCAAAAATTCAAGAAATAGCACTGCGCATGTACAAATAAAATCAACATTCAATACTGTAGAACTCATTTAAAAATGGCACCAATGGACAATATTTTACAATATGCACATTTATTTGAGGTGGGGAACTAACGCTCCACAGGTGAAAATGATAATACAAATAACAGTGCCACTGTTGGCCCGTTATGGTACTTCTTACAACTTAATGGGAACACTTTTAAAAATAATCTGGTATGTACACGTCTTCTGGAAACTCAACAGCTTCTTCACAACAGAAAAAACCACGGTCCTCCCCCTCCCCTTTTCAGCCAGACAGTATTGCCAGAGACTGTGCTCACTTTTAGAGCACGTAATCTTACTTTAAATTCAGTGCTATTTTCTTTCAAAAAGATCAGAAGTTGTACTTTTAGATAACAAAAGCACTTATGTTACAAACATTCGAAAATGGAAGCTTATGATTCTGGCAGACAACGTTGCGTATTAAATACAAACCAGCCAGCAATTACTGAACATAAAAAACTTATTCAATCATAAAAAAATACTATAATTCATCACCACAGACTTTTTACATAGTTATAAATAATAAATAGCATAACACAGTAGATTACAAACGGATTTATTTTGCCCCGTTAAAGTCTTTAAAAAGTAAAATATCTATCGTCTTACCTCAGGCTGACCAAGGAACTGCACCAAGACTACTCACAGCTCAAACACAACTCCTTAGCCAAACTATTTGCAGAGCTCATACTCAATCCCAACTTTTAGGTCTCTCCATAGAAATCCCACGCTCGCTTCGCTGTCTGCCCTGCTCACGACCAACGGAGGTGCGAAGGCTGCACGCGGCAGCGGCGCAGGGCGTCACCTCGGCGGCCATCTCATAGCAGAGCCAGGGCCGCCCACGGCACCTCGCTACGGAGCGCACGCTTGGAAAGGAACATGAAGGAAAGCAGCATCCACGACAGATTCTGGTAAGCACTCTATACACAAGCTGTACACAAAGGACTCTTCCCACCCACCCCTCCGGTTTACATTCCATAATTTTGTTAACAATGTCCCCTAAGGCACAAAAATACCTATGACCTCAATGCCACAGGAGACATCGATGGTGCCAGACACGGTTCTCCTACACAGTAGTTTAAATAACTTCGTTATCTGCACTGTATGTCTTAGATGGAGGCATGGATTAAGCTTCCTTGACCAAATCTTGCTGAATATTGACCTTATTTCATACAATCTGTAGAATAAAGGATCTGGGGACAGAACCATGCAACTATTTTCATCACGTTCGTAGAGTATTATTTCTTCACTGATGGCAAAAGTGCCAGTCATTGGTTATTTTGTTCTGGTTTTGGTTGGGTTTTCTTTTTTTTTAATGTAATAGAGTGAGACTTTCAGATCCACTAGGGTCTTCTGTAATAAAAACGACTAGCAGCACTAAGAAAAGAAAATATTTTTTCCTCCCTTCTGGAAGAGAATTTGAGGCTAGTGACTGAAAAAAAGCAAGAATAGTTTTACTCAAATGGTAGAAGTGCCAGAGAAAAAAATTAGAATTTTCAAATCCTTCCGAACCAAATTACTTCCCTAGACATAGTGACCACGATAACGATAGAAGTATTTTCCTAAAAATTGCAACGCTAGTAGGTAGATACCTATTCTCAGAATCAAAAAGTGTACGCAGGCTCCTGAAAGCATAAAGTTAGTATAATCTGAGCAGACATCTTGTTTAAAAAATAAATTTGCAAAACCAGACATTAATATGGTCTACAATGTCCATTAAACGGATATATCAAAATCACTGGAAAGTCACCAAGGATTACAGTTACAATAATTTTTCCTTTCAATAATCCTCATGTTAATGGTTCAAGGACCAGAGTTCATTTTTCTGTACGAGCGTACAACAAGGGAACAGCACAGCCAGACACTGACTCAGAACTTAAGTCACTTAGGTGAGAGATCATCCATCAAAATGAATGAAGAGCATGAGTTTGAGCATGTTACTGGAGACTCTGTGGTTATGCTGCCTTTAGTCAGTGAATCAGAGGAAGAGCCAACACTGCTGCTACTCCCATCAAGAATATCTGAAGACAGGCTGGGGAAAAAGAAAAAAGTTTAGTAACAAGGGCATGATGACTCTGTACAAAGCTAACACACCTTCACCTTTGTAAAGATGTAGGAGACCTATACTACCACTCAGTCTTTACTACAAGACTGGCAGCCCTGAAGACTCCTTGTTTTCTGTAGCATGTTATATATATATTCATGCTCCTCATGGGAATGAGGAGCAGAATTTATTTTTTATTTTTTAACATGCAGAATAAATTACGACTCTGATTTAAACTAGTCATAGAAAGGAGGTGACAACTAACGAGAATAAAACCTTAAAAGGTTATAGGAAAGGAATAATAAGAATCTAATCAGCAATGCAGCACAGATGTCATTGATTAGCTAGTATGTTCTTTAATGTTGTACTACTCAAAGCTGGATTTTGAAACCTATTTTTCCCTTGTAAGGAATTCCTCTGTTTACATTTTGAAGTCTTGATACAAGATTCCAGAGGGCACATAAATTGATGCTTTTGCAATTTAGCCAGAAGCAACACGCAAAAAATATTTCTAGGCAGTTTCAAGTCCGTAGCTAAACTGAAATTATAGTAATACAGGGTTCATATTTTCAAATGCTCAGTATCTTGACTCTTGACACAAAAGAGAACCCAGCTTTTTATGACAGTAATACAGAAAGGAGACAGGCTGTAACACTGAAATCATGAACGTATCAACATGAATCATGAAACTGCAGTAACTACTCACACACGTATTTTCTAAGTATTCAGTAAGTACCACAGACACCGTACGACCACTGCCTACACCACACTGAAGTGATGAAGCATCTTTGAGGCAAAGTAACTTCACTCATGAACTAACAGGGATTTGTAACGATTATATTCGGTATAGAAGTTCTGATACACAAAATCTAGGCTAGAGTCTGCTCAGGAAAAATTGATAAAGGAGCAGGAATATTGTCACACCACACTCCCACAGGAATAGTTCCCAGTGATATGCATTCGCAAGCTATGCACAGAGTACTTTTTTCTAGAAATAAAAACAAAACAAGAAAGCTTGTGATAAACGCACATTCCTTCTTTCAGCATTTCAGGGCACATGAAATATTTTACCATGAACTGAGATCTGTCAGATGTGTAACATCTGGAGAAAGCATGTTGGTTGTTCCTTGAAAAAGTCTCTTTGGCTGACTTTCAGTTTCCATTTCACCTAAGGAAAATAGTGCAAATAATCAAACTCACTTGAGTCTCTGGAATGCCCATTTAATATTTGTCTACTGTAAAAGAGAGGTTTGTCCCACAACAGAGCAAGGTTGCATTTCTAGCAATTAATTAATTTTCTATTATTAATTAATTTTCTATTATTTCCTCTAATTCAGCCAACCAAGCACTTGGGTAAGACATTAATTTGATGCTAGCTGTTGTTTAACCATCCAGTCCATCCATCCTTAATTTAACTAATGCTTCAGCAGTACCTGAGGGTCTATAACAATCTAAAAGACATAGAACTAGGTACTTGTTACTCAGACTACAAGACTAAAGAATCTAAAGCAAACTAATTACTGTGACTTAATTTTAAGTAAGCAGTTGAGATGAGGCAACAGACATAAGCCAAAATACAGAGATTGAAGTTCTCAGTGACTATGAAAATCAGAATGCCAGCTTGGTTCAGTTTCACCCTCCTGATGCATGTGTACACTTTTACAGAAGAGCTGAACAGAAGATTGGCATGTGTATGCACTTCCACTTATTCATCAGGGATCAGACTATCCTGTACCTGTAATCATCTACTGACACTAAAAGATTAAACGTGATGGGGAGAATTCATATTATCTGTTGAGTACAATCTGCCCTGAGAATGAGCGAGCTCATTAACAACTTCTGCGTAACAGACACATTTGGAAGTAACCAGCTTAAAAAAAAACAACACACCACCTCTCAGCTACACTATATTTTAATTTGTAGTTTGGCAACAAAAACACATGAAACAGTAATAAATTTTCGGGCTTTTTACCTACACTTCACAGCAGTGCTGGTGGCAATTGGAAAAGCTGGCAGAGGTTAAGCATTAGAGCAAACCAGTACATATTAGTATGTTGTGCAAGAGAATTACACTACTGCTCATTTTATAAAAGACTGATAACTCCCTCAAACTTCCTATTTCCTTTAGCCTATGGGGATACATTCCCTTCTTTGAAGGGAAGGAATAACAGCTCCTATCAAGCAGAATGGGCAAAACCTATTTATACAAGAATGAAGAAAACCCAAACCACCAACTTAGGTAACTCTTCTGCCACCTAAAATTTCACAAAGACAAATCCGCACTGCTACAACACGTTGATAGAGTCTACCAGTATTGACTCCCTTTAGCAGCGAAATGTTCTTCAATACATCGTGTTCTTCCCCCTACATACTGTGGTGCCAATTTGTTATCGTGTCATGTCTGTAGAATATGAACCATAAAGCTACTGCTAAAATTCAGAAAGTAACAGGACTGTACTTAGGAAAATAAATTAGGTTCATTTAAATGGATTAGATGGTTTAAAATTAAGTAACATTTTGAAAATTTCTTGACATTTTGAGTAAAAAAGGCAAACTCGTATCTCCACTTGGTAAGGGATGCTCCACAAAAGCACACAGAGGAAACTCTGCCTTTCACCTGCCCTGTTTTTAATACAATCTGTGTAAAGTCTATTGTAAAATGTTTCAAGTAAAACAATGCAGTATAAATACTAATTCCCTATTGATCATTGAGCCTGACAAACTTCTGCTCAATTTTTAATGCCTCTAAAATTAATAGAAAATAACAGCCAAGATAGAATAGGCATCTATGAGGAAGCTTGTCTCTCTTCCCTGTCAATTCAATATAAATTAGGCAAAATTCTTTATCTGATAGGACAAGCAGTCCTAAAAAAAAAAATAAACAAACAGTAACTTTCCTCAAAGGCTAGACATAAATCTTGTGAAATAAAAGGATATGCTTTACGTGTGGTTAAGAATGCCTAATTAAAAAAAAATATATATTAAAAAAGCAGAAAGGATAAACATTGCCAGAGGGACCCTTGTAAACATCTCAATCTTACAGTTTTACTACGAAGACTTGCTCTGGGACGTAATTTGAATATCCTTAACATGCAATACTTCCAGGAAAGAATGCAGTTTTCTCCTTTCAGGAGGAAAGAGTACTGATCTATTTCATTTCTCTAAACACTCACCTCCTGAACTTTCAGAGTGAAAACAAACATTCAGTACTAAGTTTAGAAGATACTGCAAGATAAGCAACATTCCTAAGATGACCTGAAGGATGTGCACCATACAGTGGCACTCTCAGGAACGTCAGGGCTCACAAATATTCATAACATTTAATTTGACGTGTCATGAAACTTGCTTCTTTCAAGCAGTAGCTGCTTTTAAAGATTTTCATTCTTGTGTTTTAGTCTAGCTACTTTATATTGTATTTTTAAGTTACGACTGGCAAATTCCACTTCACTGTGGACACAAGTGCATTATATTTACAGGACAATGACAAAAAAAAACAGCACAGAAGTGTGTCCAGATGCAAAACTACATCCCTATTAAAACATCTGACAATGTACATACACATACCTTTTCTTTTAATGGGGCCAAGAACACTGGGTCTAATACAGTTTATTGGGCTTTGACTCCTCCTGCTAGAAAGAGAACACCGAAACTCAGTCAGGCCTCTAGAAGCTCCAAGTCTGAACACCACCGTACCCAGCATCAAGTCAACACAACCACATCATACGGAACGTTCTTTAAAACTATTCCTGCACACCTGGAATGCTTAGGGAATCAAAATAGACAGGTAACAAAGAAGGGCTGCCTATTAGAGCAGATTATCTGCCACACAAAGCTGTAGTAATTTTTCTAGGGTTTTCTCCTTCCCTTGGTGCATCACCTCCTCATTTCATTCCACTTCTAAACTGTGTGTAATATTTACATAAAATCGATATGCTGACACAGTTAAAGTTCATTTGAAGAACCGAGGAATTTCCCCACCAGTGACTAAGTCTAGTTTAAAGCTGACAGAGGCTCCTACACAAGCACCCACAAAAAGCTGCCATTGCTAAAGGTCGAACTTTCAGAGTATTTTTACGTAGCAATATTGCAGCTATCATAAAACTAAAGTCTCTTTTAATGCCTTACTATCAGCTTTAACTAATCTTGGTGCTAGCCTTGGAATTTAAGCCAACGTATAGCTGCAACTTGCAGGTGTTACTTACTTGGAGAATCGCCTTGTTGGACTGGGAATAGGACTTGGAGGTAATCCATTACTGCTCACAAACATTTGCAATGATGGTGAAAAACATTGCTGCAGAAAAAGTCACATTGAGACACTTCAGAATTTCCTTTTAAACACTCAAGTGTTTCATCCTACTCTTCAAACAAAACATCTCCACTGAAAGAAAAGCTATACAGAATAAGGCAGAGATGATCACATGCAATCTCAGAAGCATTAAAATTTAACTTGCAAAAATACACTGGCTAATGCAATACTACTCAGATTAACCTAAAATTCAAAACCACCAGAAATCTGAAATGGAAATAGACACTGTTTTCTAATTCATACAGTTGCTTCTGTTGTACTTGTTACACTCAGAAGCAGCAGTACAGTACTCAAGACTTACTTCTTTCAAGGTGCTTGTTAAGCAAACAAGTTGAGTTTACTCAACATACATCTGACCTGAAAAGTTAACACACTATTCCAGAGTAGAGCAGAGTATTTGGCTCCGTGGTTCTGCAGCTAATCTGAGCTTAGCCCATGAATGCCCATAGCTAAGCACAAAAACGTTCCTGTCAAGTTGTCCTCCACTGCTTTACAGTTGTGATTCCAAAGGCACAGCACCAGCTGCCAGCATCAGTGTTACACCAGAAACACATTTACCCAGCACCAGGAGGTGGTTGCTCCATGCAATGCTGACAGAGGCATGCAATAAAATAGCAGCAGTACCGACGCGGAACCACAAAAGAGGGTGAAAACAAGGTCAAACAGTCCATCTTTAAACACAGCTGCCAGATCCTCTGTGCTGTGCTTGTTTTGTAATCCTCACTGGGCAAAGTAGTTTATCTAAGATCCACCTTTTCCCTTCTCCAGCATCTGCCATCAGTCTTCAGTGCAAGTTCAGCACACCCAAGTCCTTCTCCACAGTGACTTTATGCTTTTCTTTCCATGATGGACATATTTTGATCCTTCTCACCACACAGATTTGCAGCTTCTGGCCTGTGCCTACACTCTTACTCTACACATATGATACCGGGGAAGAAGCACCAAAATTGCAATGTATCCCCCCACTTATGCAGCTGAAGATCATGTCCAAATCTGATTAATGACTTCTTCCAGCTTCCCTAGAACCATAACCCATCCAAACATCACAGAAATAGCAGCAACTGAAAAATTCAGTGTGACAGAAGTGGCACACTGTTTGAAATCTGCAGGCTCTAGGATGGTAAGCATCTGATTCTTAGAAACCAATAAAACACGCATTTGGGTTGGGGTTTTTGTTGTTGTTTGGTTGTGCTTTTTAAAAAAAAATATTAAACAATTTGTAAAGTTACACGTCTTTACAGTTCACCTTGGTCAACAATTCTAAAATGTTCTCTCAGTTTGGTATTTCACTTATCCTACCTTTCCTATTCCTCTTGTAGGTGAAGGCGCAGGCGAAACTGGAATGAAGTCTATTCTCTTTGGGGAGGAAGATTTCTCAGACTTGTCCAAGTCATTGTCACTCTGTAAACACAACGTTTCAGACTTAATGCTGGCACAGGAAGTTACCTTAGAACCCAGGGCACAGCCTTCCAATGGAAAGTCATTAGGCCAAACGCACAAAACAGCTAAAGCAGATGAACTTAAATTCTTCTTAAATTACTTCCACAGTTAATTCCTCTTTACCTTAAATTCGTCAGTTGTGTGTAAAAGCAGAATTAAATAGGAAACATCTATAAAGAGATTACCAGACTCAAGCTTTCCTCCCATGACTGGCTTATCTGCATTGCTGTTTGCACTTCCCTAGAATACAAAAAATCCCATCAGCAGCTACAAAGAGGATAACTGGCTATTTTATCATCTTGTTTCTGTAACACTCACCTTTCATGTGCTGTTTCTCTGTTCATTAAATCCACTCCTTCCTCCTGCAGGAGATAAACGTCGTAAGTTTTCCCATAACATTTGATTCATCACAGGTACTCAGAATAACACTCGTGGTTCACTAATCTGCCACCAGAATTGAAACACGAACAGCAGGAGCACTCCAGAAAGAAAAGATTGCTACCAGCCCAGCTCACAGCTTCTCTTGAACGAAGCAACGCTTCATAAATGCAAGACAGTCTAAACATGACAACAATAAGCCTTGCAAGGACGCTTCCTGGTTGAAATCAAGTCTTAGGAGACTTTGTTTCCTGTAGCACTTCAAAAACTCAATAGGAAAGCAACTCCCATTATGTAAGTACTTCAATATTACATAATACTTTTCATTCTGTCACTAAACGCAAGCTAAAAACTGCACTTACCCTTCTGATCTGATGAAGTCGGCTACTAGGAATACGGATAGGAGATGATGACAACAACTGAAAAAAAAGCGACACATCAACAGCTTGCATACATCCTAGTTACCATCACCTACGTTCTTAATGAATTAGAAATGAGCTGTACAACTACATGTGGATGATTCAAATAGTGTTGCAAAAATAAAGCACTGACCTCCAAGAGAAAAGACTTGTTTTACCACTTACAAACTCATCCTATCACTCAGCAGGTGGCACAGATCTCAAACTTGCAAGGAGATACTACACTTAGCATCTCAAATACACAAATACCTACACACGCCCTTTAGATGAGTCGAGATATTATAAACGAAAATACAAACATTATATAGTCCCCTACTACCTAGAGTAAGATGACAAACTCCTGTACTAACTTACTCAACCAGTTGGCTGTTACGAAGGAGAAATCTCAATGTTTCAGCTCAGCCTTGAACAGCACTGCCTAAAACTCTACTTCTGCTATTTTTCAATTGCATGTATTTTTATGCATTTAATTCCTCTGGAACTTTGGCGACCACCACATACAAACGGACCAACAGTTCCCACTCAGGATGCCCATGTAACACCTACTGATTTGAGTTCCAAAACTCTGGATTCTTATTTTTCAGAAATCTCCTAACTAAAATCCCATCTTGCTTTTCTGAATAGACTAGAAAACATAGAAGAAACCTATTTCAGGACTTCATGTTCTACAGGTTTTGGGAAAAGCAATACTTAATCTTCACTACTGTCAGACGAGAAATAAAAATTTTAGTGGAAAAGAGAATGTAGATCCCCAAGTTGACAAGGAAAGGGTGAAAAAAAACCCCACAAATGCAACATTTTTGAAAAGTTAAACAACTGCAGTACTGTACACTACCAGACTTATATAACAGAGGGCAGAAGATCACCCAGCAAATTAATTTACTCTTCTTCAAATGATTTTCTCATGTCTGCTGTTCAGCCTTTGCAAAAAAAGAGCAGCCATGTCAAACAAGCAGGTCAATAAAGACTTGCAACTCTCTTCCATTTTTAAAACAAATTAAAACACTCTCTCAAAACTTTTAATTGCAACAACAGTTTTCTCTTCCAATCCACGGTCAGGCCCAAATCGACTTTTAGGCTGTGCTTAACACCACGAATCACACATAGCTTCAGCTACTGTTGTCTTCTCAGGGACATACAGTCAACACACCAGTATTATTTCATTGTAGGTTGCACTTACAGGTGAAAAAAATGCATATTCTGCAGCCTAGACGCTTGCTAGGATGCCTAGTGCAAATACAAATCAAGTTTAACTTCATTTCTCCAGCCCAATTATTTCTTGCTAGGTGTAAACAAAACGTGCTTAAGATTCCTTACCATACTGTGACGGCTCATAACTGTCGTACTGTTCCTGCGAGTTCGCAACACGTAAGGCTGAAAAACCTGCGAGTTGTCACTGGAAAAAAAAAAAAAAAAAAAAAAAAGCTTTGTGGACAACTTTCTAAGGGGTATTTTGCTTTAAACGGTATGATACACACATCCAAAGCCATCCATTTTATTTCAGCCGACACGACTTTCGCTGACGGAGCCCAGCAAGCACTCTTCTCCTGCCAGCCCGCGGAGATCCGCACACCGCGGCTCCGCGGGTACAAGGAGTTGCTCGGGCATTCCGAGAAACAAGTGCCACGTTTCGGAGCCTCCACCACGCACCGGCCGCGGCGCAGGGAGAGCCGGGGGCCCGCACCGGGCACGGCCCGAGCGCGCAAGGGGCCCGGCTGGCTG